TCATGCATGGACTTGCTCAGACTTACCCCCTCTAAGCTCCAGCGCAGGGGCAGCAACTTGAGAAGTACCAGAGACATACCGAGAGGAACTGGATTGTGTGACATCAGGGTGAGAGCTGGAGGGACAGCTTTCTCCGAGACAGAAATGCTGGCAAAAGCCATTTTTCCTTTGATGAGCCCTTTCCCAACAGAGCCAGCATTTGGGCGCCATAGACATTTGAGAGCCCATCCATCTAGCTCCCACTGTTGATTCCTGGAGATGCTGTCCCACCCAGCTTTTGAGTCCATTCTAGTTGTTTCCAGTGGCTTTACCGTAGGAATGGCCTGTCTTGGCTCAGGCTTCAGATTTTCCTAAAAATATCTCAAACAAGCAGCCATCTGGTCTTAATGAGCCCCATACCTATCTCTAAGTGGCCCCAGGCTAAGCACTAGCAGCAGCCAGCCTTGGTTTACAGCATGGCCTTACCTGGGCACCTCCAATCCCAGCACAAGAAGCAGCCATCTGAAGATCTCTTTGTAAGTTATGCCTTTGTAACACAGGTGATGGCTGACCTTAGCTTGCACCTCCCGGGAGGTCTCAGAGCCAGCACACCCAGTGGACAGCTTCAGACCACATCAAAGTACCACCAACCAATCACCTGTACAAGTGACACACTCAAAGGGTGGACTCAGTGGGTACCAGAGCACTGCTGAATTAAGTCCTGCTCTGTGTGATAAACCCCTGCACAGCTGATCCACCAAGGTGGATTAAAGGTCAGGGGTCAGTGGTCACAGCCAGTCCTTGCAGCTGATCAGCCTGAGTAAATCCCTCCCATTAACATGCCAACAGCAATCTAGACTCAATTACAACAAAGGGATATACAACTTAAGAGGGGTGTATACCTCAAGTGCCCAGCTGGGGTGGTTAGGAAGGCTATATATACCACTGGAGCTATAGGACACCTACTATATCAGGTCACAATATGAAGCCTAGGAGGCATAGCAGCTTAATACACAGAAACAAACACAGGGAGGCAGTCAAAATGAGGAGACAAAGAAACATGTCTCAAATGAAAGAACAGGACAAAACTCCAGAAAAAGAACTAAACAAAATGGAGACAATCCACCAGATGCAGAGTTCAAAACACTAGTTATAAGGATGCTCGAGGAACTTAGTGAGGACCACAACAGCCTAAAAAAAGAACCAATCAGAAATAAAAGATGCACTAAATGAAATAAAGAAAATTTAAAGGGAACCAACAGTAAAGCAAATGTAGCTGAGAATCAAACCATCAATTTGGAATATAAGGAAGCAAAAGCACCCAATCAGAACAGCAAAAAGAAAAAAGAGCCCTAACAGGTTTGGCTCACTGGATAGAGCATCGGTCTGTGGACTGAAGGGTCCCGGGTTCAATTCTGGTAAAGGGCATGCGCCTCAGTTGCAAACTCAATCCCTGGCAACCGGGAGGCAACCAATTGATGTTTCTCTCTCACATCAATGTTTCTCTTTCTCTGTCTCTCCCCCTCTTTCTAAAAATCAATGGGAAAATATCCTCAGGTGAGGATTAACAACAGCAAGAATCTAAGAAAATGAGAATAGTGTAAGGAACCTCTGGGACAACTTCAAGTGTACCCACATTTGCATCATGGAATGTGAAGAGCTGGAAGAAAAAGAGACAGAGTGAGAAATTAAAAACGTATTTGAAAACTAATGACAGAAAACTTCCCTAACTTGGTGAAGGAAATAGACATAAAAGTCCAGGAAGCACAGAGGAGTCTCAAACAAGATGAACCCTAAAGATTTTATACTCTTTCCTGACCTATGTTGTATTTTTCTGACCCTAATCCCCTTTTCCTGCAGAATCAATCTGAGTAAGGAGGTAGAAGCAGCAATAAACACTGACCAGTTTTCACTTTGCCAGGCTGGCCAAGCAGCCTACCCGGAGAGCACTGAGAAAGGCTGTGTAAGATGGGACCTGTGGTCCTAATAAAATGAAAAAGGACACTTTACTCCATCTTGGAGTCATATAACTGACACCGAGGATTTACTATGATTGCTCTTTTTTATTCTCTTGCTGTCAGCTCCAAGGAATGATGTCCTTACTATAGAGCCAAAGCCATTTTAGGGGCCAGGAGCATGAGCCACAGCAGGAAGGCTGTGGAAGCCATGGCTACTGGACACAGCCCTGCATTCTATGCAGCCCTGTACAGAGATGGCATGTGCTTGGCCATGCATCCCCTCTCCCCCACCCATGCTATTGGTTTTGTGTCCTGGCTGGGAATGGGGGTTCTTCCCAAGGTGAGTCTCTAAACACAAGATATTGTGAGCAGCCTAAGTCCCTTGAAAGGTTTCTTCATTTCTTTCTTGTTGGGTAACTTAGCACCAGTTCTTGGGCAAGAATGTGAGTTCCTTTTCAGGGCTTTGGTTTTCACTCTGTTTGGCTCTGCCCTTGGGAGGCTGCTTATTGAGTTCTTTTCCAAAGGAATGACCTCAGGAAGGGAATATTCAGCCAGCCTAACAAAAAACAAAGTAGCTACTTAGCACCCACCCAGTCAAGAAGAGACATCCCGGCTATCAAGTTCAACTCTCAACTACTCTTACAATAAGCCCTTAAGTGGCTGGTCATGGCTGATTCCACAGAGCCTATGGACAAATGCTAGGCCAGGGTTAATAGATGCAACAAAGGTCAAAATGACAGGATGGGGCAGGGAAATGTGACTAATGTGAGTAAAATCAGGTATTTTACTCTTGTAAGTCTTGAATGTATAAAGACTTTCAGGTGAGGCACCCTCATGATCAGCTTTAAATAGTTCTTTCAACCCTCAGTGAAGTAGTAAGATGAAGAAAAATCCATTTCTTTGGTTTGGTGCCTTTCTCACAGAGCCTGGAATAATAATAAGCCACTGGCCTACTTCCTCAACTGTCCTCCCTAAGTCCTTTAATACTCATAGCCCCAGCTCCTCACTGAAGTATTTTAATGATTGTCCTTTGACCTTCACAGCTCCTGTAGCCTCTTTACTGCTTTGACATTCAAATTATGTCAAATTATCTGACTACTCTTCCTGGGACGCTAGACACCTTTTTCCAGATTGAAAATATTTCCTTATTCTTAAGAAAAATACTAACCTTGAGCTCATTGAAGTAATCTTACTTTTTTTAATCAGACTTTGAAGTGTAAAGACTTAGAGAATTTTGCATTTCCTAGCCCAGTAGTCGGCAAACCGCGGCTCTTGAGCCACATGCAGCTCTTTGGCCCCTTGAGTGTGGCTCTTCCACAAAATACCACGGCCTGGGTGAATCTATTTTGAAGAAGTGGTATTAGAAGAAGTTTAAGTTTAAAAAATTTGGCTCTCAAAAGAAATTTCAATCGTTATACTGTTGCTATTTGGCTCTGTTGACTAATGAGTTTGCCGACCACTGTCCTAGCTCCATTCAAAAAGCACTCTTGGTTGTATGAATTTTTTCAACTCTAAGCAGCCCAGGGAAAAAGTAAACAAAAAGTGTGGGTGAAGGTCAAACTTTCTCATCAGTTTCTCCAAAGACTGGAAGCTTGCTCTTAAGGACATGAATGAGTATTAGGTTTTATTCAGTTTGTTATCTGACCAGAGCCTGCCTAACGGATGGCACAGGTCTTGGCATGAGGGAACTTATTCTGTATCATACAACCACAATTCTTTGTTGTTTTGCATAGGTGATGGAAATAAACACTAATTTCTTATAAAATTGTTATATTGCAAAAGAAAAAAAAAAGAAAGATTAACTCTAAGAGGCCCACACCAAGACAAATCATAATTAAAATGCAAAAAGTTAAGGACAAAGAGAGAATCTTAATAGCAGCAAGAGAAAAATAGTTTAAGTTACCTACCAGGGAGGTCCCTTATTTCTCAACAGAAACATTGCAGGCCAGAAGGGAGTGGCAAGAAATATTCAAAGAGATAAAAAGCAAGGTCCTACAACCAAGATTATCCTGCAAAGCTATCATTTAGAATTGATAGTCATATAAAGGGCTCCCAAGACAAGAAAAAGCTAAAGGAGTTTATCACCACCAAACCAGTATTACATGAAATGTTGAAGGGTCTTCTTGAAGAAGATAAAAAATGTGAATAATACAATGGCAAGAAATATATATCTATCAACAATTGAACTACAAACAAAATGAACAAGGAACAGAATCATAGATCAAGAACTTTATGTTGGTTGTCAGATGGAAAGTGGGGGGGAGAGAGGGCCGATTAACCAAATAACTTAAATGCATACATGCATAACCCATGGACATAGACAATAGTATGATGAAATCTGGGGGGAGGGGGAGGGTAGGGGGAGGGTAGAGTTGGTCAGTGGGGGAAAAAAGAGGACATCTGTAATACTTTGAACAATAAAGATAAATTTTTTTAAAAAAACAGCATGATACTGGCATAAAAACAAAAACATAAATCAATGGAACAGAACAGAGAGCCCAGAAATAAACCCATGACTTTATGGTCAATTAATAAATGACAAAGGAGGCAAAAACATACAATGGGAAAAAGACAGTCTATTCAATAAATGATAATGGGGAAACTGGACAGATATTATACATGCAAAAAAAAAAATGAAACTAGACCACCCTCTTACACTATATACAAAAATAAAATCAAAGTGAATTAAAGACTCAAAGCCATAAAACTCCTAGAAGAAAACATAAGCAATAGCATTTTGAACATTTCTCTTAGCAATCTGTTTTTTGACATATCTCCTCAGGCAAGGGAAACAAAAAAATAAACAAACAAATAGACATCAAACTAGAAAGTTTTTAGATAGCAAAGAAAACTATCAACAAAAAGAAAAGACAATCTACTGAATGGAAGAAGATATTCACTAATGATATATATGATAAGGGGTTAACACCCAAAATTTATAAAGAACTCGAACAACTAAATACAAAATAACAATATAATTAAAAAATGGGCAAGAACCTAAAAAGATACTTCTCCAAAGAAGACATACAGATGGCCAACAGACATTTGAAAAGAAGCTCACTGTTACTAATCACCAGAGAAATGCAAATTAAAGCCACAATGAGATATCACCTCACACCTGTCAGAATGGCTATCATCAATATATTAACAAACAAGTGTTGATGAGGATGTAAAGAAAATGGAACCCTCCTACACTGTTGGCAGAAATACAAACTGGTGCAGCCATTATGAACAAGTCAGAAATGTCGTCATAAAATTTAAAGTGGAACTGCTTTATGATCCAGCAAAGCCATTTCTGAGTATATATCTGCAAAAAATCAAAATACTAACTTGAAAGAATATATGCATCCTTATGTTCATTGCAGCATTATTTACAAAGATCAAGATATGGAAGCAACCCAAGCACCTTTCAATAGACAAGAATATAAGGTTCTCCCTCCTCCCAACTGGTGGGCGGAGTTATGAGATTACTGACATCTGTCACAGAGACATCCCCAAGACATTGAGCCACCAATCAGTGCATGCCAAAGTGTCCTGGAGCCCACCCCTTCCTGTTCTGCCCTGGATCCAACCCTCTCCTGTTCCTCCCCTTAAAAAGACCCCCAGACCAGCCACGTGTTGCTGATCCTCCATTTCCAGGTGGCAGCCCGGCTGGGTCCATCCCCCTTCCCACTCCTTCAATTCTGATTTTTCTACCTCCCTAATGAGACCCGTTCATTACTGGGGAATAAACTTTACTTTAAAATATTTTGGTGGTCAGTTTCCTGCGCCTCAAACCTTACAAAGAAGATAAAAAAAAAAGCTCTGTTACATATATACAATAGACCAGTGTTTTTCAACCTTTTTTGGGCAAAGGCACACTTGTTTCATGAAAAAAATCACGAGGCACACCACCATTAGAAAATGTTAAAAAAAATTTAACTCTGCCTATATTGACTATATATAAAGTAATTCTCTTGAATAGGAATCAAACACAAAGAAAGTATTTTATAATTACTTTATTATGAAATATTAAGTAAACAAAATAGTGAAAAATTATAAAATTCTTGTCTTGTCTGCACCTACGGCACACCAGGCAACATCTCGCGGCACACTAGTGTGCCGCGGAACAGCGGTTGAAAAACGCTGCAATAGACAATCACTTGACCATAAAAAAGAAAAAAAAAGAAATCTTACCATTTGCAACACTGTCAATGGATGAAGAAGGTATTATGCTCAGAGAAATAAGTCAGTAAGAGAAAGACAAATACCATATAATTTCATTTATATATGGAATCTAAAGGACAAAATAAACAAAAAACAAAATAGAAACAGATTCATAGATATGAAAAAACAAACTGATGGTTGCCAGAGGGGAGGGGACTGGGGGGAGTGGGTGAAAAAGGTGGAGAGATTAAGAAGTATGAACTGGTAGTTACAAAATAATCACAGCCATGTGGAGTACTGCATAGGAAATATAGACAATAATACTACAATGACTGTATAGTGCTTAGCGGCTACTATAAATATCAGGGGAAACTCTTTGTAAAGTATATGACTGTTTAACCACTATGCTGTACACCTGAAACTAATATAAAATAATAATGAATGTAAACTATAATTGAAAATAAAATTTAAGTTAATAAATAATGAAAAGGTTTCAAAGTGTAAAAAAAATATGTCACAGGTTTCTGTGATTTTCTTACAAATGTTAAAAGTAGGCCATTATAACAAAACGCTATTTGCAAAGAGAGCAGAAGAATATCCTTTAGTATCTCAAATTGCCTTAGAATTAAGAACAAGAATGCTAGATGGGAATGACTCTAGAATGATGTTTCCTAAATCACCCAAAAAATAAAAACATATAATAAACATATCTTACCTTTTTTTTGAAATTTCCAGTTCCCAAGAAAAGATGCTTATTAGAACTAAAAATTAAAATTGACATCTAAATTTATTTCCAATGTAAAGTCCTGATCTCAACCAATCATAACAGTAGCCCTTATCTTGCCACATGCTGATTTTTTTTTTTTCATTTTTATACCATTTTTCTTGTTGCAACAGAGATAAGCACATAATGTAGAGGTTAAAGGGATTGAAATGAAGTAAAGAAAAACATATTTGAAATCAAGAATACAATTTTATAGCAGACATGTACATAGACTTCAGGACAAGATAGTGAGAGGAGTGGAGATAGGAACATTTCCTTTCCTATCAATAAAAAACAGTAGCTGGCTATTTATATACATAAATATGGCAAATCACCCGCAGAATTTAGCTGAAGATGAAAACTTTACAAATAGCAATATAAATGAAAAAAAAACATATATAAACCAAAGGTAAAAACTTCATGTGTCATTTTTCTTAAAGTGTAGAATGATTGAAGGAGAACCAAGATGGTGGTGTAGGTGAACACTATTATGCACTGCCTCCCACAAACACATCAAAATTACAACTAAAATACATCCAGAACCACCTGAAATTAAGTCCTATAACTAGAGAATGAAGTCCTACAACTAGAGAAGTAAAGAAGAAAGCACATTGAGACTGGTAGGAGGGTTGGAGGAGTAAAACTGCCTGGTCCAACAACCACATGTGGCATTTTTTTAATCAGGAGGGATATTTAGACTGCAGAGGCCTCCCGTGAGGAACAAGAGGTCTCAGCCCCACACCAGACCCCCAGCCCTAGGTTCCAGAACCTGGAAGAGTAGTCCCTGTAACATCTGGCTGTAAAAACTAGAAGGAGTTGTGTCTAAGTGACACAGAGGCTGCTGGAGACCCAGGCAGTTCCACTTAAAGGGCCAACACAAGGACCTACTTGGATTCGCTCTCTCTGAGGCAGTAGGTTGGGGGGATTCAGAGACATAAGGGGGAGAACCAGATTGTCATTGGAGCAAGAACTTGGGGGCAGCTTTCTCCAAGACAGGGGTACTCACAGGGATCATTGTTCCTATGTTCATACCTCCCCCATCACATAGCTGACTGGCAGCCATATGTGAGTTTCCATTAGCCTGATTCACACTGTTCACTTAGCCTGGTGACTCCCTGAGACCACACGCCATTCAATTTGCAATCCCACCCACGCTATTTGCAGTGGTTTTTCCACATGAATGGCCTGTCCTGGCTCAGGCTTCAGCCTTTCTAAATTCTCTCAAGTGGCAGCTGGCATCAGCATGCCCCATCCTCTTAATAAGAGGCCCAAGACCTAGCAATAGCACCTGCCTGCCTTGCTTCACAGCACACCTCATGTGGGAATTCTAAGCCCAACACAAGTAGCAGTCATCAGCAGATTGCTCTGTAGCTCCTGCAAGGTGGCCCCAGGCAATGACGGACTTTGTACCTCCAGGGAGTCCCCAGACCCAGTGCACCCCGTGGACTTCAGACCACACCAGACCACACCAGATTGCCACAAGTGGCACACTCAAGAGGCAGACTTGGTCAGCACCAAAGCCTACTAAAGCAAGTCCTACTCTCTAGGGGTGTCTCCTGCACAGCAGCTCTTCCACTGTAGTCGCAGCTGGTCCTCACAGCCAAGAGGCCTGGAGGTCAATTCCTCGCATGATGCAAACAGCAATCAAGGCTCAACTACAAAAAGACTGTGCACACAGCCCCACAGGGGTGCACCTAGAGTGCCCAGCTCAGGTGACTAGGGAAGCTGAATCGCTGGGCCCTACAGAACACCTACTACACATAGCCACTTTATCAATTCCAGGAGATAAAGCAGCTCTACTTAATAAATAGAAGCAAACACAGGGAAGCAGCAAAAATGTGGAGACAAAGGAACATGTAACAAATGAAAGAATAGAAGAAATATCCAGAAAAACAACTAAATGAAATGGGAGCAAGCAAACTACTGGATATAGAGTTCAAAACAATGGTTATAAGGATGTTTAAGGATTTTAATGAGAGCTTGGACGGACTTAGTGAGAATTTCAAGGATCTTAGTGAGAATTTCAAAGACATGTAAAAGGACCAGTCACAAATTAAGCTGAAATAAATAATAATTTACAGGGATTCAAAAGTAGAGCATTCTGAGAATCAAATCAATGATTTGGATTAAGAGGAAGCAAAAAATACCCAATCAAAAAAGAAAAAAAAGAAAAAAGAAGATATGTAAGGAGCCTCTGGGACTTCATGTATACCAACATTTGCATTATGGGATGCCACAAGGGAAGAGAGAGGGCCTGCAGAGGAGGGCGGGAAATTAAAAATCTATTTGAAGAAAAAATGACAGAAAACTTCCCCTGTCTGGTGAAAGGAATGAACTTACAAGTCCAGGAAGCACAAAGTGTCCCAAACAAGAGGAATCCAAAATGGCCCACCCCAAGACACATCATAATTAAAATGCCAAAGGTTAAATACAGCGAGAGAATCCTAAAACTAACAAGAGAAAAGTAGTTAGCTACCTACAAGAGAATGCAGCTTTTAATAAAGGTCTGGAGATGATTATAATGGGCAGGGTGGTAACAGAACCACTAGTACGGGGTGGCCAGAGAATGTTATTTGTAACGCTTGGGCAGGGATGACCTTTCTGAAATGTTAGAATTGAAGCTTACATTGTATCCTCAGGGCACCCCAATTCTGAGGCACAGGGGACAGACAGCCAGGTTAGAGATCTACCCCTTTGTTTCCATTCTCAGTAACAAACAACAGCACTTTATCAGCCCCAGAGAGTGTGAAGATAACAAGACGTGGGAGAGAAGATACTCAACAATCAAAGAGAAGCAGAACCCGACACTATGGAAAAAAAACAGTGTTGCTACCACCTCCACCGTGGAATCAGACAAAGTATCAGGGTCGGGGAATCCTGCCAGCGTCCAAGCACACTCTAATGTTCCAGATAATTAACTGCAGTGTGGATAGGGGAGGCTCATCAGAGCAGTGTGACTCCTCCCTCATCTTGAGGAAATGTGACAGCGGTCTTTCTTTAGCGTAAATAATGAAAAGCAATAAAAAAGTTTACAAACAGGCAAGTACACACAATGGAAAACACAACAACCCCCGTCTGAGAATCCCTCTTCCCACCGTACGGGCCTTTGATGGAGCGGAGATGGGCAACAGGCCACGCGGTCTCCACATCAAGTCAAACTCGTTTTACCCACTACGACCTGAATCAGCTGTCAGCAAGGCCAGAACAGTCCCCGCGGGGGCCCAGGGCAGCACTGAGACCCGAGATGGAGCTGCAGGGCGGGGGCGGGGTGCCCAGCGCCGGTCCCCAGCTCCGGCTCCGGGGCGCTGCGGCTGCACTGCACGGGCCCGCGGTGCAGCGCGTCGGGAACGGGGAGGATGGAGATGCTTTCCCAGCCCCGGCTCCAACTACTCGGGTCCCAGCCTGGGACAAGGGCGGCCCGGGACTCCACCCCTGCCCCCGCCGCGGGCCGGAGCCTCTCCTCTCCGGCGCCCACGCCCCCAGCCCCGCCTCCTGCAGCTGCACAACCTCGGCTGCAGGCGGGGGACGGGGACTCAGAGGCGGCGCGTGCGGAGGGGGGACCTTGGAAGCCGAGCGCGAGGAGCCGGCAACGGGCAGCAGAGGCAGCCGGGCGCCCGCACACAGCACGCAGCCCGCACTCACCTGCAGGCTCCCCGCGGGGCGCCGACTGAGGCTGCGCTCCGCACCGGGATGCGGCCGCTGGGCCCCGCTTCGTGACCCGCTACGTCTCACCGCGCCCCGGACTGCGATTGGCCGCGCTCCGGGAGGGGCGGGCCCAGGACTTCAGAGGCCGCCGCCGCGGCGCCAAGCGGGGGCGGGGCGCGAAGGGGCGGAGCCGGGAGCCCAGCCCCGAAGCTGTTATCTCCGCTGGCCTGTCCCGCGGCTACTGCCCCGGGGCCTGACCTCTTGGCCTTCTGGGGCCCAGCTCCTCGCTGCCTCCAGACAGTCAGGGTTTCCCCTGGAGGATCCGTTTCAAGTCTTTTCTTGTCTGCGAGAAGACCAGACCGAAGAGGCCCCTATTTGTGGCCGAATGTTTTATAGTTCCGTGTGTCAAGGAAACACGATTTACTAATTAGGGGCTGAACTATCTGTACTTCGAAATAAACGAGATGACTAATGAAAAGGGCCCAGCGCGGCATCCCAAATCTCTTCCTCTTGAATTCCCTATCTCAGATTATGACACACAGCATAACAAATTTCTAAATATATGTATGCTATGATATAAAACAAAACAAAAAACTGGTCATTTCTGACTTGTCTGAAAAAAATAGTTTAGATGGTAATGTTACCAAACTTTATTTCTTTAAGTAAAGCAAAGCATGGTTCCTAAGATTAGATAAGCAAAAGCAAATTAAACCTGTTTCTGATGCAGCTAGCTTGGGGGCTATTCACCAGCAAATCTGACTACCTATCTGATGGCAAATGTTGTAGAACCGAGTTCATTCAGTTCCTGATCTGGTTCCTTTGTTTCTTCCTTTTGAACAGGAAGTGAAATAAAGATCAGAGCAGAAATAAATGACATAGAGACTAAAAACAACAACAATACAAAGCATCAATGAAACCAAGAGCTTATTCTTTGAAACAATGAAAACAAGATTGATGAATATTTAGCCAGAAAACTTGAATTGGCTGATAACAACTAATGAAATTGAAGCAGTAATAAAACAAAACTCTTAGCAGCCAAAACCGGTTTGGCTCAGTGAATAGAGCGGCCTGCGGACTGAAAGGTCCCAGGTTCGATTCCAGTCAAGGGCATGTACCTTGGTGTGGGCACATCCCCAGTAGGGGGTGTGCAAGAGGCTGCTGATCCATGATTCTCTCTCATCGATCGATGTTTCTAACTCTCTATCCCTCTCTCTTCCTCTCTGTAAAAAATCAATAAAATATATTTTTTTAAAAAACAAAAATCTCTTAGCAAAAAACAGTCCTGGACCAGATGACTTCACACCAAGTTTTACCAAACATTCAAAGCAGAATTAACACCTATTCTCTTCAAACATTTTCAAAAAATTCTAGCTCTTTTTACAAGATAAACATTACCCTAATTCCCAAACCAGATAAAGACACTACAAAGAAAGAAAATTATAGGCCAATATCTCTGATGAACATAGATGTTAAGTATCAGATCCAGTCAAATATCAGATCCAGCCAAAACCGGTTTGGCTCAGTGGATAGAGTGTGGCCCTGTGGACTGAAAGGTCCCAGGTTCAATTCCAGTCAAAATCATGTACCATGGTTGTGGGCACATCCTTGGTAGGGGGTGTGCAGGAGGCAGCTGGTTGATGTTTCTCTCTCATCGATGTTTCTAGCTCTCTATTCCTCTCTCTTTCTTTCTGTAAAAAATCAATAAAATATATATATTTTTAAAAATATCAGATCCAACAATGCATGAGCAAGTGGGATTTATTCCATGGATGCAAGGCTGGCACAATAAATGCAAATCAATAAATTTGCTATGTCACATAAACAAAATGAATGATAAAACTCACATGATCATATCAATAGATACAGAAAAAGCATTTGAGAAATCCAGCACCCATTTTTTATTAAAGCTCTCAGCAAAGTGGGATTAGAGAGAACATATATCAACTTAATAAAAGCCATGTATAATAAACCTACAGTCAACATTATAGTCAATGGTCAAAAACTAAAAGCCTTTCTCTTAAGAACTTTCACCACTTTTATTCAAGATAGTACTTCTCCAACGAGGATATACAGATTGCTATTAGACATATGAAAAAAATGCTCAACATCACCAATAATATTAAATGCCAATTAAAATAATCAGGCATCACCTAACACATGCCAGAATGGCTACACTCAATAAATCAACAAATAAGTGCTGGTGAGAATGTGGAAAAAAGGGAACCCTAGAACACTGCAGGTAGGAGTGCAGATTGGTACAGCCACTGTGGAAAACAGTATGGAATTTCTTTTAAAAAAAAATAAAATAAAAATGGAACTGCTGGGGTCTGGCCAATTGGACTGAGTGAGACAGGCCAGACACTCCCCAGGGCCCTCCCATGGTTCCTCCCCAGCCCCGATTGTGCACCAGTGGGGTCCCTAGGCTGCCCTCTTGCAATCTGGGATCCCTCTGGGGATGTCAGAGATCCGGTTTCAGACTGATCCTACTCAAGGCAGGAGCTGACCCCTGGTGGTCAGTGTACTCCCACAGGGGTGGCAGGAGCTTCTCCCTCCTCCACAGCACCTCTTCAGCATGTCCAGCTGATGGCCATCCTCCGAGGGCCCTGGACTGTGAGAGGACACAGGCCGGGCTGAGGGAAATGGCCTCTCCTCCAGTGCACAAATTTCGTGCATTGTGCCTCTAGTATAAAGAAAGAGAACATAACTAGAAAAAGTTATTCTGGTGGAGGTTTTTTGTTTTGTTTTGTTTTTAAGTGATGTAGATATTGAGGATCCTGGAGTTTTTTGTTGTTGTTGTTGTTTTGTGTGTTTTTTTAAAAACATATTTTATTGATTTTTTTACAGAGAGGAAGGGAGAGAGATAGAGAGCTAGAAACATTGATGAGAGAGAAACATCGACCAGCTGCCTCTTGCACACCCCCTACCGGGGATGTGCCTGCAACCAATATACATGCCCTTGACCAGAATCGAACCTGGGACCTTTCAGTCCGCAGACTGACACTCTATCACTGAGCCAAACAGGCTTTGGCGGATCCTGGAGTATTACTATGCCTCATTTTCCTTTTTATCTAATTTTTATATTTGACATAATACACTGTATTATTTCTAATATATAAATTATAATTAAGGTTATTTTAGCTTAATTTTCAATGTAAAGAAAAAAGTTTAAAGGTTGAGATAATTAAAAGAGTTGGAAATAAATGATAGATGTTAAGATGTTATATGTGTATATGTCAAGAAGAAAGAAATTATGTCATTCTGAGGGGAAATTAATCTAGTTGAGAATTCTGTGTTCCAAGCAAACATTTATTGAAAATTATATACCTTTTTTTTTTCTGAAATAATTTGTTTCATCACCAGAGTAATTACAGTCATTCATTCAACATATTTAAAGTAATAACTGATATTTTTAGCAATTGCTTTGTTTTTAATGCACCAGTCAAAATGAAAGTAAAATTATGTATGTACACAAATACCTCTGTACATAAATATACACAAATACTTTTGTAAAAGCAAAAATAAATTAAAATATTTCAAAGGATCAATATGTTAAATTGGGCTAGCATTAAACGAAAGAATCGCCTTTTAGCAGGTAATACATAATTCATGCTTAAAAGAGGATGCCTATTAACAAAAGCCTATACCAATTTATAGGGACTATAGAAACAATTTAGGAGAAAAGAAGAAAATAGTAATGATAGGTCAAAATTTTTTATGATGAATTCTTAATTCTAAACTATTATGGGTTTTTTTTAGGTGAGCACTGGATAGTAAATTAACACATTTGTAATTGAGAGTGATGTTGCTAGAGTCAGATCTAGTGTCGTGTAAAATGGATTTGTAACCCCTAGCTGCTTTGGCTCAGGCTGTAGAGTAGGGGTGTCGAACTCAATCAGAGAAGGGGCCAAAATCTAAAATCCAGCCTAAATCACGGGCCAAATGGTTTACTGAACAGTCATAAACTGTCATTGTGATGGAAACGCAGCGGAGTGCAGTGATGACAGCGCGGTGCGGGCCACATTTCAAGGCCTGGCGGGACAGATTTGGCCCGAGGGCCTTGTGTTTGACACATGTGCTGTAGAGTGTTGGCCTATGGACTGAAAGGTCCCAGGTTTGATTCCACTCAAGGGCACATGCCCAGGTTGCAGGCTCGATCCCCAGTCGGGGGCATGCAGGAGGCAGCCAATCAATGATTCTCTCATCATCAATGTTTCTATCTCTCTCTCTTCCTCTCCTTTCCTCTCTGAAATAAATAAAAATATATTTTTAAAAAATGAATTTGCAAGGCATCGAGGTAGGTGATATTTTCCACTGATATAATGATCAGAACTAGAAGTATAGCTTAGTAAATAAAAGCGAAATGTAGGGAAACAAAAATATATATCCAAAGAAGAAAAGTCAAAGTTAACCAGCCTCTGGTCCAAAGAGCTGATGATTTTGTCACTGAAAAATATTAAAAGTTATGAAGAAGTTAGGTTAGGTGAGAAAAGATGAGGTTGGCTTTGATGTGTGCGATTTAAAAGGTTCATGATAATTACGTTGAAGTGCCCAGAGGGAAAGATGAGGACTAATGTTAAATAGGAATTAGAAATTCTAACAAGATAGGAGATTCATTTAAATTACCTCAAATTGTGTATATTCCCTGTAAAAATACACCACCAAATAAGCATCTAAAAAATTTCAACAAACAAGACTTTATAGAACTACTAGAGGCCCAGTGCAGGAAATTCGGGCATGGGTAGGGGCCCTAGGCTTGGCCAGTGATCAGAAGGTGATCTGTGGGGAACCTGCATGTCTTCCCACTCCACTTTCCACCTTCGCGGGCAGCGGGAGAATCAATGTTTTCTCTCATTAACTCGGAAAAGCACGTCCTGTCACCCTCTGCCTGGCAGGAGTGCGGTAGGCCCCAAGCCAGCGAGGCTCAGTCAGGGCAGCCTTCGCTCATGGGTGCTGGCACCCAAAGTGCACATTCCTCCTCTGCAGTCACCCCGACTATCCCACCATTTCACTGAGAGGACAGACCTCCTTGCCTCCTCTGGGTTCCCGGTCTTGAAGGCTGATTGACCGAAGGCACCTCAGCGAGGGCCGCCCGCACCCACCAGGTGTGTCTGTCCGCACCTGCTCCCACCCCAGCACCTGCATGAGCCCCGTGGAGGTGATCTCATCGCTGCCCTGGCCTCCGAGGGAACAGGGAATCACCACTCTGCCCACTCACTCTCATCTCACAGGTGCCCACCTCCAGCACCCAGAACACCCAGACACTCTCCAAAGGACGTGAGCGTGCTGGAGGGGACGTGTGCGCGTCCTGCGGGGGACATGGGCATGCTGGGGTTGATGGAAATGTGGCAGAGGGGTGTGTGTGGGGGGAACTTGCACATGCCATGGTCCCGGACTGTCACAGGCATGCGTGGGTGACAGCTTGTGAGGGGATGTTCGCATGCCATGGAGGATGGAGAGGATACGTGCGCTGGAGCCTGCAGCTGTGCAGACCCACAAACCCCTACGGCGAGGCCAGGAGGACGTCAATCTGGCCCCCCAAGGTGGCTGTCCCTGCGACCAGGGAAGCCAAGTTCTCCCCAACCCCCACCCACTTTGCTCCTGCTGCTACCATCTTTGTTGTATCAATTTGCATAATCCGTCCTTATTGGCTGTGGACACCACCATCTTTATCTCAAAGTGACGGTCAATTTGCACAGGATTATCAGAGGACCATTGTAGACTCGATGTGGGTCTTGGGACTTTAACAGTAGGAATCTCTGTGTATGTAGTCTGATGATCTGTGGCTAGAAGGAAGAATGTGCTGTATTCTTGCCAACATGTGCTCCTAGAATTTTCATCTGAAGGATTCCCTGAGTAGGGTAATAGTCCAGAGAGTGGGCTGCACAAGTTAGTGGGCTGTGCTAACCAAGATTCAATGTGATTACCTATTTCTTTTATTGTTATCCTGGGTACACAGTACAACTATATTTTTCTGCCTCCTCTGCAGTTAGGTAGGGCCTTGTGACTAAGTTCAGAGCAATGGAACTGGCATTATGGAGACAAATGTGTGCCATTTCCAGTACTTAAATATCTTGTATGGTTCTCCTTAATATCTCTCCTCTCTATTTGTTAGCAGGATGCCAAGGGAATCTTAAAGCTATTGGGTAGAACAAGGGTCTCACTGGGCTGTTCTTACTAAATGCTATTCTTGCTGCAGGTTAAAATGTATCACAGTATTTGGTTGACAGAGCTGTAAAAAACATGTGCTTTTTGGGAACCCAACCAGAAAAGTGTAGCAAAATAAGTAAACAAATAAATAAAAGAAATCAACATGTAATTAATCGAATAGTTTATATAGGCAATGGCTAAGCCTCCCTTGGCAGAGACAGAGGCTTTGGATGGGAATCCCCTGTCTCCCCTTTTCTTTGCAAGTAAGACTATATGGCAGCCACATCTCTTATTGAATAGAACATCCCAAGTGGAAAAACCTCCTGAGATAGGGAACCTAGCCACCTGTTGAGGTGGCATGAAAGGAATCTGGACCTCAAAATCATCATTTGGGTTAAATCCACGGGGCCCAATAAGTGAAAAGTAAACTTTTACTATACAAAGTCACTGACATTTGATCATGGTACTGGCTTTACTGAGGTCTTCTGGAACTGAACGCACACTGTCTTTGAGGTATGTCTGTCTACATACCACAGGGAGGTGATTTTAAAAATTGGTCAACTTGCACACTTACGACTGCTCTTTTCACTACATTTTAATTTATAATGATGCAAAAGCATACAGGCAGGGATGGAGAATCATTCAGTAGTCATGGAGATAACAACGTTTTATTTAAAAACCTTTCCCCCCTCTCAACCATGTCACTGATGACCAACCAGGGTTGTCATTGCTGGCTCGTTCCAGGTGAAAGGTGTGTCATGGGGTCTGTTATGGCCAAGGGCTCCACAGTGACCGGGCAGTCCCTGTGCGGATGGTCCATGGAGGCACTGTGGTCCTTGTAGAGCTGGGCTTTGGGCCCATCCTTGGGAAGCTGGGCGAGGAGGTGGTGCAGCTGCTGCCCCCCATGGCTTGAGTCCACGTTTCCCAGTCCATGTCCTCCAGTGGGAGATATTGGCCTTTTCACCTTTCATTGCTTCTTGGTGGATCTGGTATTTATAGTTAGACTTGTTCTGTCTGTTTGGAGTCGACTTTATGTAAGACGTGAAGTGCAACTGGCAGAAGCACCGGCCGCACAGGTTGAGGAGATATGCCAGCTCATTGACCAGTTGGGCACAGCTAACGAGGCGTGCATGGAGAACCA